AATAAGCATTAGCTAAATAGACATAATGTGACTTTCTTCTCAGTTGACCTGGACACAGCTACATAACTTGTTTAAGTGGACAATGCTCCAATCACACAGTTCCTTAAAAGTCTGAACTGCATTATATGCTGCCTAGAACCTCTCCTGAACCACTCTGGGGATAATCGCTGAGAGAGACAGTCCACTTTCACAAAATCAGACACCTCATAGCTAAATCCCTCACTAAAGTCAGTCCTCTGGCTCTACCATCAACCATTCATTCCACAAGTATTTACTGAGTGCATACCAGGTATTAACACAACACATGGAAGACACAAAAATAAACCATTTTTGTCCTAAAGGAAGATACAACATAGTAGGCACAGAGGAATGCAATTCCAGTCTGCAAGTATGCTGCACACCAACGCCAATTTGCCAGAACTATGCTAGGAATACCAAGATTTGCATGGGCTCAGCCATGAGTCATGAGCATACAATCATACCCAAGAGATCAGGCATGCATCCCAAAAGACATAACACAAAGCCAAGTGCGAGAAGTGTGAGAACAGTACAGTGAGGTTTACAGACAGCCCTGCACTCCATCCTGGCTTTGCCGCTGTGTTGTCTGGGCATATTCCTTAAGTTCTGAGGGTCTCCACTCTGTCATCTGGATGAGGATTAAATCAACTAGAGATCACAGCATTTAGAAGCTAGCACAGAAGACACATTCAATACATGATAGCTACTCTCATTGATAGGCACGCTCATTTAAATATCTGACAAGATCTTAAGACAGATCTGGAAACACAGGCACTAAGAATAAGTCTAGCTCTTCACTCTTGATATTGGCAGGACTCCTCTTTTCCCGGAGACGGGGATTTGTGGGAGTACTGAGGAAGCACAGAGGAGGGGAAAGAGGCAAATCTGGCCTTGTACTCTGACCCAAGTGGGCAGGTGGAAAAATGGGTCTGAGCAGGAAGAAAAGTCAGAAAATGACTTTTGAAATGAAATAGAGAACAGACCAAAGGAGGGAAATGTTAGGGACTATAGCTGCAACAGTATTCCCACAAGCTTCCAGTATAGGCAACGGAGCGGAGCAAGAGACAACCCGAAAAGCAGGCTGGGGCCAAACCCTGGGGACACAGAAAACCAAATTAAGAAATGTACACTCTATCCTGGATACAGATCTGGGGGCAGCAAACAAGCGGTCAGGAAGATGACTATGCAGCAGATAGACAGGAAGGGCAGGAAGAGAGATGAGGGCAGCCAGTTAGAGACTGCAGAGGCAGGAGGCAGTGAGTACCTGAAGCAGCCTGGGCAAGAGTTAACAGAGGCAGAAGGCACCTACATGGGAAACAGTCAGGCCTGGGGAAGTGAACACAAAACATAAAGGCGAAAAGAAATCTGAAGCCTGGACCAGAACAGTGACACCATTGTACAAGGACAGACAGCGAAGAGGTTTGAGTCATCTCCTGGTTAAAGCGAGAGGAGAAGGCATTGGGTCTCACCATAGATTCATAGCTACTAAAAACTGTACTGTAGAATCAGCACCAGATAAATGTATTTGCACTACGAACAACCTATGCCCCTTTTAAACATTGTTAGTCCTTACCTCTTACCTTCTTAAGAAACTAGGGTCAAAGCAGTCCTTCAACACTCCTTAGGCCTCAACCTTAATTAGGCTGAAAAGCACAGACGTTACTAATCTCCCCAGAAGGGATTGTCTCAGAGAGAATCAAGTTTTCTGCTCATTTTAGCAGAGTATTAAGAAAGTGGACTAGTCAGAGTTATTAAATTACCGCTCCATTTCCTGATGTCCATTCAGTCAGGAGTTTCTGGTTTCTGGTAACTTTAGAAGTTCAGCTTGAAAGGAGACCTGCCTATTTCAGTGCCCCCCCCCAACCCCCAGGGCCCCGCAGCCGGACCACCACACTATCACCTCTGAGCTTGCCCGACACTGGTTCCATAATTCACTGGATGTCCATCAAAAAGCGCTGCTCCGTGTCACCTCTCCTGTTACTGCCTGGAATAAATTAAGTCCCATGTTGCGAGTTTTAGTCTCATCTCCCCAAGTTATTCTCTCAAACTGCCTAAGTTCTAACTATGTTTGGCCCTTCGTATTCCAGCAAGTGCTTTTCCACTCGCTGTGCCTTTCCTCTCAACACCACCAACAGGCATTCATTTTGTACAAGTGGTTTCAAAACTCTGGAATCCAGGAGATGCTGATTTACATATAAGAGTTCCTGTAAGAAAATTTGCAAACTTGCTCTTAAGAACTAAAATATTTACCTTTATACTAAAATATTTAACTAAAATACCTTCTGGGTATTAAGTCATAATCTTTTGTTTGGTTTTCCTCAATTCTAATTATTTAGCAACTAATCTTGACCAAACTACCTCATACGTTAAAGTAAATCTCAAAACGGGATGTATATCTTAATAATTACCTGAGGGGGCTTGTTTAAAATAATTTAAAAAAATTATAATAATTTTAAAAAAAATAACTTTAAAGGCAGAACCTAGCCCCTTCCAGAGAGTTCAAGGAATATAGCCCAGCACGCATGTTTAACAAGCATTCCAGGTGACGGCAGTTTTTTTTGAAAGACACTCCTTTAAAGCCTTTATCATACAGGTAGTCATCTAAACTTACCAGGTCCTTCCAGTAGGACCCTACTCCCTGGTCTCCTATAGTTCACTGTGAATGCAAGGTAGGTTTGGTGCTGCTGCTGTTTATTGAGGGGAAAGGAAGGCAAATGAAGAAACAATATTAAAAGGAGAAAAGAAAAGCAGACATTTTTATGAACTACCACTTCATTATTTAGGTTGCAATTAAAGCAGGAAATCTTAACCTTTAAGGTATGGACTTTAGGATTTAACATTAATCCTGCTGCTGCTGCTGCTAAGTCGCTTCAGTCGGGTCCAACTCTGTGCGACCCCATAGATGGCAGCCCACCAGGCTCCCCCGTCCCTGGGATTCTCCAGGCAAGAACACTGGAGTGGGTTGCCATTTCCTTCTCCAGTGCATGAAAGTGAAAAGTGAAAGGGAAGTCGCTCAGTTGTGTCTGACTCTTAGCGACCCCATGGACTGCAGCCTACGAGGCTCCTCTGTCCATGGGATTTTCCAGGCAAGAGCACTGGAGTGGGTTGCCATTGCCTTCTCCGAGCACTAATCCTATAAGCATTCAATTCTCCACTAAATAAATGCCTTTCTCCACTCAAACCCAATTTTCCCTAAGAATTTCAGGACTTACCATTTAGCCCCAAATGTGGTCAATTTGCTGCAAATTCATAAACATTTCAAAGCAGTAGTCCTTACCTAGCTGTCTTCTTCCATTTTTTAGTACTCATTAAAACCAAAAACAAATCAAATGATACAAAGGAGAGTGATAAGTTTACTTGGAAGAGATGTGCTAAATAACTTTTTTAATTTTAATTATAATTTGGCAGTAGGCTTTTCGTTCATGGCACTGCACTTCATTAAATGGCTAAAATTAACTATGATCACATAGAATTGAGAACACCAGATCTTATCAATTAAGTGGGTGCAAAGCTTGTTAAAAAATTCATAAACATTCTTTTTACTCCCATTGGTATTAAAGCCAGGATTATCTATAGAATTGATATAAAGATCAAATGCCTATACAACTTTTTAAGTGCCAATTTATGACACAAGTAGGGAGATCAGACAGAAAGGAATATTAATAGGACTTTGTTTCATTTTACTTGCAAAATAAAGGTCTGAGTAACACAATATATTTTATATCAAGCTAAAAGCCTTTTTAGGGGTGGCTCAGTGGTAAACAATCTGCCTGCCAATGCAGATTGGGGGGATATGGGTTTGATCCCTGGGTCAGGAAGATTCCCTGGAGGAGAAAATGGCAACGCAATCCACTCCAGTATTCTTGCCTGGGAAATCCCACTAACAGAGGAGCCTGGCAGGCTACAGTCCATGGGGAAGCAAAAAGAGTAGGGCATGACTGAGCGACTAAACAACAAACAACAAAAGCCTTTTTTATTTCAATTATTTTCCATTATTTACTGTGTCTTTGAAGTCTATCGCCATTTTCTGTACCCATTCTTCAAAAAGGTAATAACTGATTCTTTTATAAAAAAAGATAGTAAATAAAAATGCAAATTAATTGTTCCAGTCATCCTGAAGGCAAACATATCTAAATACACTGTCAGACTTAACTGAGAACTCAAGCTTACTTAAGACAGCAATGGTCAAGTATGAGTTCCATTTCTTAAAAATTACAGATACAATTAAACAAGGATGACCAAAAAAAAAAAAAAAAATCAGCAAAAATTAAAGTAGATATATCAAGGTGATAAGATTTTATCTCCCCCACCTGATGTGTTAATAGAACATCATCCATGTTACATATCCCTCCAAAGGGGCACCCTGCCCGCCAGCATCGGGCCAGTGAGGTAGGCCATGACCCACCCAGCCCTCAGTAGACAGTACTAAGGGAGGATTGTCACCAGCTCACCAACACCCAAAGCAAAGATTTTTTTTTCTTTCCCTTGGTTCTACCAGGTTAACTCTGAGCTGGAAAAAAGACCACTGCAGGGAAATGGACTCACTCCAGGAGCTTGAGGTTGCTCTCCCCTGAGCCTGGGGTTTCCCTCCCTGAGAATTAAAAAGGAAGATGATAGGGTTGGACAAAGATAACCATTCCCTGACCCACTTTTCTCGGTACTTCTCTAAACAACTCACTTCCAGCAGTTTACACTGCTACCAAACAAAAAAAAAGTAATTTAGATTTACTGGAAGAGAGAGGGAGGGAAATAGGAAGGAAAGGAGATGAAAATAGGCCCCTCTGCCGTTCCAAGCTTCCCTGTTCTGAAATGTCTCATCCACGTCGATTCACACGTGAGCTGGCGCCCGCGTTTCTTCGTCGTTTGTTTAAGGATGTGCTCCTTTTGGAGGTTCGCTCACAATCACTCTGGCTCCGAGACCGGCTCGGGGAGCTTGTTCCCAGTTTAGGCGGGTGAAAGAGACGTTAAGGTCCCCCACCTACCTTCAGGGTCGGGCCATGGCGGCCTATCTTTCTCCGTTTCACAGGGTTTTGGAGGTCCGTTCGGACAGCGCTCCCTTGAGGCCCAGCCCGTCCACTGTGGCACAAAAGCAGAGCGGAGCCGGTCAGTCTTTCCGCCCCGGGGCCGCGGCGGGAAGTGCGCGACGAGGGCGGGGCTTCCGCGTCCCCAACTGCACTCCCCCCGGCCACCGCCCGGCCCGGCCCGGCCCTGACCTTGACCACGGCCGCGCGCCGGCTCGGGTCTCGGACCCGCGCACCTGCACGCGGCCTGGAAACGTGGAAACGTGGCATCGCGGCCAGCGACAAACCCCCGGGTTCCCGCCGGACTCGAAGATAAACAAGTCTCGCTAAAATACGCGTCCTACTTTCCCGGCAAGTCCAGAATTCAGAAAAGCCTCAAAAAGAAGGCTAAGGCAAAATTACCTCAGTTTTTATTAAAAAACACCTCCCAACTTCATCTTCCTTTGAACTCTGCATCGCTAAAGCATGCAGAAAACCAACTTCCAAAGTTTCTTTGAAATCTGAAACCACGGGGCAAGATTAAGGACACTCTGCCCGCTGAGGGTGCTTTTATTTAAGAGCCTTGAAATAATAAAGCAACACCCTACATGACAGCCTGGGTGCAACTGGTCCAGTTTTACAAACGGGTGAACTCAGGTAGAGAATGAGTCAGTGAGAATTAAAAATAGACTCCAGTTATCCTGACATCAGGTCCATTCATCAGACAAAAACCACCCAAGCACCCAAAAGTACAGTCTTATAATAACAATAACAGCAGGACCGATTCTGCAGTGCTTTGCATATATCAACACTAGATATTCACCACTACCGTTTCATAATATGTTTTATCAGGTCCATTTCACAGATAGGGAAGAGGCACAGAAACACTTTCCTGCCCAAACTCAAGCAAGCTACTCCACAGCAGAGCCAGGATTCAAACCCGGCAGTGCAGCGTAGCCTTTAAACGCCTACCCCGCCTGATCCAGTGAGATGAGCACCAGTTCCTCTTGGCTGTCTCCTCTAACAGCCTGGGGAGACACAGCAGTCTGAGCGTGGTCTCCCCGCTTGCACACATGGAGACACATACGACTCGCCAACCTCTCGCAATTTCTGAAGATTCGGTGGTGTGAAGATTACTCGAAAGGCATCCTTAAATTGTTGCACTCGCTTAAGGCTGACAAGGCTCTGTTAAACTATTCATCATATTTGCACCTACATTTCAAGACTCGTGATCTACGAAATGATACAAAACCCCATTTTTCTCCAATATTCTGCAAACCGTCCCTATAAAGAAAAGCTAGAAAGGAAACTACCAGTCGACAGAGGGCCGGTCTCACCTACCGACGCGCTAAGCTTTCACCGACCTGGGCGAAACAATGACCGACGCCAAAAAGCTCCCTCACGTTAGAGAAGCCTCACCCTGCTCAGACACGCCTTCAAACGTCTCCCTTCCCCCTGCATCCCCAAGGCATCCAGCAGGAGGATGCTCTGGGCCCGGCGAGCTCACAGCCCGGGGGCTCCAGGCTTCCTCCGTTTCCACTGAACCCGAAGCTTACACGAAAGCGAGCCCTCCGACACCCGGCGGTGCCCCGGCCGTCCCAGCGCTTCCAGCTCCGGGTGCAATGCGGGACTGGGGCGAACTGAGCGAAAGGTCCGCGGGCTCCCAGTGGCTCCGAGAAGCCACGCCCTCCTCTTAAATGGGCGGGCAAACCGCCAGAGTCAGAATGACAAAGCAAAAATCCACTCCTCGTGCCGCCCTGGCGCCTACGCGGATGGGCTTAGCAAAGTGGGATCTCCTAATTGGGTGACGGCACATCCTCTTCCTGCTCACAGCGCCCCCAACCCAAAAAAGGTGCAAACGCAACTTAAGGAATGTGTGCCTTCAACTGGACTATGCCCTCAGGCAGTGACTCTGGAACTTCGTTACCGATTGTGATCCGGCAAGAAACTGAAAATTCTGACACCTGGTACACTCTCCCAAACATTCCGACGTATTAATAATTGGTATTGGCTGCGACCTGGGCGTCTGAGGTTTTTTAAAACTCCCTGAATGATTCTAGTGAACAGCAGTTTGGGATCCATTATCCTACCGTAATGGATTAGTCAGTCTGGTGATTCTGTAAAGGAAGTGATGTGTCTTTTAAAAGAAACTTCCAGTCCATCCTGACTAATTCTGAAAAGTGACAAATTCTTACCAAGCGTAACTTCGCTTTGTAGTACTTCTTCCTTATCCCGCTCAGATTTCGGTCTGTCATGTTTGTCTTAAGAAAAACTGAGAGTGTGTTTAACTCCAGCCATGCCAGCCACCTGCAGCCAGCTGCCCAGGTGAGCCACACTCTCTCATACCTCCTTGCTCTTACTCATGTTCTTACTCAGCACTTGATACTGGTAGGTGGCTATGAAGATTTGCTGAATAAATAAATAACCGAATGCCTTCCCCACTGTGCCATATGGTTACTGCCTGACTGAAGCACGCTCAGATGAAAGGGTTGCTGGTCTCTAAAGAATCCATGAAGCCACAATTTGCTCCTCCGAGTCCCTTTCCCACTGCAAGGCAGAGGCTTAGTGAAGCCTCTCGGGTTCTGAATGTATGCGCACGTGTGCATGCACACACACAAACACACACACACAATACATTTAGGGAAGGGGAAAAAACCTTTTCTCCAGTCTCCTAGGTTCTTCTAGAGGTCTAGGAATTAAATTGTCATGAGACAAATTACAGGAGAACATAAAATTTAACTACACACTTACAAAATTAACATGAGAACATGAGGTCCAAGGAAAAGTTAGGCAGGTTGAAGCTTGTATACTGTCCCAGAGAAGAAGGAGGTAAAGGGTTTGGGACTTCAAAGGCAAGAAAGGAAATTTACAGGAAGAAGAAAATGAGCAAATGTCTGATAAACATGTTGGGTCATTCAGGTTTCCCTGGTGGCTTAATGGTAAAGAATCCACCTGCCAATGCAGGAGACAAAAAAAATGCGGGTTTGATCCCCGGGGTTGATCCTTGGGTCAGGAAGATCCCCTGGAGGAGGGCATGGCAACCCACTCCAGTATTCTTGCCTGAAGAATCCCATGGACAGAGGAATCTGGCGGGCTAACAGTCCATGGGGTTGCAAAGAGTCGGACCAACTGAGAACACACGCACGCAGGCACAGTGGGACCCAGAGAGAACCTCAATCAAACAGGCCTTGCTGAGTTCCCCCAGTCTACCACACCTAGTTCACGTTGTACTTTTCTATGATGATAATTGTTTTTCCTGGAATAGGCCCTGTTGGCAGGTAAGGGGACAAGGTAAAAAGTTCTTCCTGAGGTTTTGTTTCTTAAAAATAATCGACCCCTACACTATTGGTGGGAATGCAAATTAGTACAGCCACTATGGAAAACAGTGTGGAGATTTCTTAAAAAGCTGGAAATAGAACTGCCATATGACCCAGCAATCCCACTTCTGGGCATACACACCGAGGAAACCAGATCTGAAAGAGACACATGCACCCCAATGTTCATCGCAGCACTGTTTATAATAGCCAGGACATGGAAGCAACCTAGATGCCCATCAGCAGACGAATGGATGAGGAAGCTTTGGGACATATACACCATGGAATATTACTCAGCCATTAAAAAGAATTCATTTGAATCAGTTCTAATGAGATGGATGAAACTGGAGCCCATTATACAGCCCATTAAGCCAGAAAGATAAAGACCATTACAGTATACTAACACATATATATGGAATTTAGAAAGATGGTAACGATAACCCTATATGCAAAACAGAAAAAGAGACTCAGATATATAGAACAGACTTGTGGACTCTGGGAGAAGGCGAGGGTGGGATGTTTCAAGAGAACGGCATCGAAACATGTATATTACCTAGGGTGAAACAGATCACCAGCCCAGGTTGGGTGCATGAGACAAGTGCTCGGGCCTGGTGCACTGGGAAGACCCAGAGGGATCGGGTGGAGAGGGAGGTGGGAGGGGGGAACGGGATGGGGAATACATGTAAATCCATGGCTAATTCATTTCAATGTATGACAAAAACTACTGCTATGATGTAAAGTAATTAGCCTCCAACTAATAAAAATAAATGGAAAAAAAAATAATCAACCCCAAAGAATCCTCAAACCAAAGGGACACATTTTGGGGTGACAAGTTTTGTTCCCCTACAAGATGCTAAACTGACACTCTCCCTGTTTGGTGGTTATTTACGTGCATGTCTCACCTGATTCTTGCGGTGACCCAAAGACCAAAGAGCAGATAAAACCAAGGAGGGTCTTGGAATGCAGGAACAGAAAAACCAGACCCTTATCGTCCTTCCCTCCCCCCTGTGGTAACTGTTAATGGATTTCAGGTCCTCCTGAGCAGTGTAACCTGCCTCCCTTCCTGCCCCACAGGGAGAAGGTATTTGCCTTACTCTTCCACCCCCCACCTAGTATATGTGCCTCATCCAATTAGTAAATGACCCTCAAGACCCCCGTCCCACTCCTGGTACCTGGGTGTAAAAGTGGACCAAGGACCCCTGTTCAGCGTCAGTTCTCGCTTGAGCCAGCCTGCTGTTCTAACAGCGCCTCCCACTCTAATAAACTTTATTTCCCTCTCATTCTGTCTAATGTCTGGAAATTTTTTTCCAACCTGTGCATGGACCACGACAATTCTGGAATCCTGAGAAGAGAGGATAGGTCTAGCACATAAGTGTTCAGGAAACAAGGTGACCTAAGAGAGCAAAGAATGGAAAATGTGAAGGAAAGAAAGCTGGGATTAAGGGAGAAAACATAACATTTACTCCTGGCTGCGATGTTGAGCTCTGTATTAACCATATATTTGCCTTGTTTCATTCAAGCTACACAAAACAATCCACGAATCAGGGTCATGACTTTGCATTCTTAAAAATCTTTAGAAACTACAGTTTATTTCAAAAGCATGTCTTAGGATACAGAAGGACTTTAAAATCATTTAACTTAATGTGCTAAAAGCAAGTGATAAGGGTTGACTTCTAAGAGCCTTCTATGACAGACAGGCAGAATTACTAGAAAAGGCTAGATAAGGCATTTTTAACTTGACACCATTTTTTGTTTGTCTGGCCATATGGCAGGCAAATCTTAGTTCCCTGACCAGGGATCAAACCCATGCCCCTCTGTACCGGAAGCACAGAGTTTCAACCACTACACCACTAGGGAAGTCCCCTTCACACTGTTCTTAAGTGAGCAGATTATATTAATAACACAAATCCCAAGAGTAGCTGGCCCCATGTAATTACTTTTCATGTTTAAAAAAAAAAAAATCACCATTAAAAAAAGTTTCACTTTCCTTTCAAACGATTCTTGCTGCAATTCCAAGCCCAGGTATCTTATCCTTGTTGGGAAATAGAGAATGCCTTAGTTTTATTTAGTTGCTGGTTAATGGGAAAAGAGCCTCATCGCCCCCCACCTCTCATCAGGCAGCATTTGTTCCAGTGGTACATCTTGCCTCTCTTGACTAGGTTCCTGTTATTCCTCCTGCCTAAAATTATCTTCCCTTCCTAAGGGCCTCCTCCCTCAAAGCTCATTTGAAATGTCACCTCCTCTGGGAGGGCTTGCCTGATTTCTACCTGAGGGTTTACCACTCCTTCCCTCTTCAGTTCAGTTCAGTTCAGTCACTCGGTCATATCCGACTGGTGTGCCCAAATACCTAAAAATAATTACACAAACCATCTAAATCCAACAGAGTTTTGAGAAGGCAAAACCTTGCTTGATTTATTGTGCCCTCCTGGAACCTGTTATATATAGTAAGTGTGCAGAAAATGCTGGAAAAGACTCTCTGCTCCTGAGCTGTTGTCTAAGCACACTATTAATGGGTCTACATAAGTATTTGATCAAGGGTACTATTGCACTAAACTGCCATTCCTCAATAAGCCTTTCTCATACACACACACACACACACACACACACACACACACAGACCTGGAGTCACCTTTCTGACACTCAAATCTTCTCTGTTCACACCTTCAGTGGCTCTCTAGGAACCTCCAAATAAGGTCCAAAGTCCTCAATTGTACTGACTTGGCAAGGGCCACCCTTGTTAAATCTAGATATCCACATACTCTGTACCCTACTTAACCAGAAAACACAGCTGGAGAAAACAAAGAAATTAAAAGTAATTTCACTTTAAAGTCAAGGCCACTAATCTCAATGTGTCTCCAAAGCTGCCCAGCAGTCCTTTGTATCACTGATATATTTGTTTTCCCAATTTCCAGAGTGACTCTTTCATACCAAACCTATAACACACTGTGAACAAAGGAAAATAAAGAGCATTACTCAAGTTGGGGCCCAGGTTACGCCACCCCAAAA